GATATACTTTAACACCACTTAATCCAGACAGTACATCTGAGAATTTAGTGTCTCACATGATCAAAAGCCAAGACAGCAAATCTGACTTCCAAGCATTGACAGGTAGTTTTTATCCAGACAGCAGAACAATAGTAGCTATCAAGGGAGATAATAATATTCTAACTCTTCACTCGCCAGACTCAGTAGTATATGATGACGTTGATTACTTCCCCTCGTCTTACTTGTGTGATCAAATATTGACTACTGATGTGTAATTTATTCTAGCTGATTGCCTTTTGTGATATGTGAATGTAAGATTCTCAGTAACATTCACTGCTGAACTAGCAGTAGGAGCCAAGGGTAAGTGAGCGGACACTACACGTTAAGCCAACTGGATTACCAAACAAACCTACCAGTTGACTCAGTCTATTAAAAAAAAAAAGGCTGATGAGGCCCAAGAGTTGTTATGTCAATAAAATTAAATGAACATTGTTTTCCCTGTCTCGTCATCATCATCAGCATGATCATCGCCATCTTGTTGTGCCGTTATATGTCACATATAGCTTCAAGTCCATCCCCCCCCCCCTTTTCCTCTTTTCCTTGCCGATCTATTCCGTGCAGCCTTCTCAGTATTATCATGGAGGCAGTCCAGTCCAGCGACTTTGGCCTCTTTCAACAACTTTCGTCTCGAGGTTTCACTTGGACGTCACCATTTCCTCAGTTAAATGTGTTTCCCAACGCCTTGCCTGTTTGGTGGTTCTCTATCCATTTCTCTTCATGTTATGCCCAGTCTATTGCCATCATTTGCTCACCCATGTCCCTTAGTTCCTCGCTAGAGAAGGTAGATTGAATAGCGGCCTCTCGCATCGTCTCCCTCTACGTACACTTTCATACCCTTTTCCACTTATATCATATGTCAAACTTCGTGCTGGTCGGCCCCTGCCCCTTTTTCCTGGTACCATACCTTCTGATACTGTTTTTACAATCCGCCTTGACGTTTCATATAGCCAAAATAGTTTATCTTCCGAGACAAGATGCTGTTTACCAACCAATCTACCTTGATGCCAGGATCTTTTAAGATGCCAGTATTTCTTTTCTACTTGGTCCACTGTATTCTAAGAAAATTTTCATAGCGTTTTATTTTAAAAGCTTCCCTAGCAAAATATCTGAACGCCTCAAATTGATATATTTCGTTTAGAATCAACAACAGTGGCGACTATAGTCAAGTTAGTATCGGCAACTGAATACATTGAACTAAGGGTGTTTTAAAGTCTTGATACACTTTGTACACCCCCCCCCCCCCCACCCCAGAGATTTGCTCCTACATGCAAAGTGTATGCAGGATTAAATCTGTAGGGAGGGGGGGGGGGGCGAAGTACACAATAGCATTTTTTTTTCAAGAATTCAGAAACCATGAGTTGTCAACCCTTTGGCTCGGTACTATGGGTATCGCAACCCTTCGGCCTTGACTCCATGATAGGTAGCGTAAAAACTGGGAGAAATGTGGCTTTTCTGCCTACCCCCGGGCGTGAACCTGGACCACAAGGAGTTCGTCACCCGGTCACCGCGCAGTCCGGTTTAACCAACTACGCTAGAGAGCCGGGCAAACAAGTTGCATCGACCGGGAAACGAACCCGAAACAATGACATCAAAAATGTGCTCCACTGTGAATCGTGAAGCAGTATGCGGTGAGTAGATGTCGCCTGTTGGAGTAATCCTTTGCACTCAAAACATAATAGTATTAACAACAAGAAGAAATATACAAATATTTTGTGTGTGTGTGTGTGTTAACATTGCATAGTATCACGTGGAATTTGGCCTGCACGTTCTCTCGATCTAACGCAAGTAAAGTGTTATCTATGGGCTTCTAGGGATGAGTTGTTTACAAAAATCATATAAACACAATTGGGGACCTAAAAGAAGCAGCGAGAATTCATGAAATTAAGTAAATGATCATTTTGCACGCTTTTATGTGTATTGGGCATGTAAGGCTAGTCGTATATTTTACAGACAAATCAGCACTGGGGGAGTGATTTAGTCAGCATCACATCAGCTGCCTTTACTTCCCAGGAATGTACTCACTCAAGGCTGGGTCGACCTCAGTGAGAAGGTCATTTTTGAAAAATGTCCGGCTCCGTTCAGGTCCCGAACACACGACCTTCCAATCCGCAGGCGAGCGTCTAGTCACTACATTAAGGTGGCTTTCGCAATCAAAATTACCATTCAAGAAATAACGACACCATGCAAAGGCTTAGAGAAAATATTAGGAGTCGTGTGTAGTCATGACTTGATGCTTGTGCTTGACAGTTCAACACTTGCTTTACTGAATATTCAACTGGGTTTTTTGTTTTTTCTTTCTTTTTTTTTAAACCCTCCCCCCCCCCCTATCCACCACCCCCTCCCCCTCCCCTGCTGCATCCCCCTGCCCCCGATTAGAATTAGGCAGTGGTAATTGTAACTGATTTCATTAGCGTTTGACGCACTTTTCTTTTTAAAAGACGTTATGTGCTTTGGCTTTCACATCGTGTTGTGCATACAAAGTGTGGTGCGACCTTACAAACACCCTGTATACTGCTGTGCTTTGGGGGAGAACTAAACAAATCCAGTAAATCGAGAGATGAGGAAAAGACACTGACGTGAGATAGGACGCGCATTGAGAACAACCTGAGAACAATATAACTAGAAGGAATTTAAATCTGCAACTCGACACCAGCATAGAAGCAGTGTTAAATCAACAAATACACGGAGACGGGAACTAGTGAGTAAAGTTACAACAACAAAAAAATCCTGTAGCACATGGGTAAGCTGCATTAGAAAGCAAAGGTTAGGACGACTTGCCATGAGCTGATTAAAGGCCTATGCTCCATTGTTGTATAAAGCGCAGAGAAAGAAAAAAAGGAGTACGAGAAGAAGAGGAGGAAGAAGAAGAAGGAGATGAAGAAAAAAAAAAGATGACGAAGAAGAAGATAAAGAAGAAAATAAAGAAGAAGAAAAAGATAAGAAGAAGAAAAAGAAAAAGAACAACAACAACAATAACAACAAAAAAAGAAGATGAAGAATTAGATGAAGAAGAAGAAGAGGAAGAAGAAGATGAAAAAGAAGATGAAAAATAAGATGAAGAAGAAGATGAAGAAGAAGATGAAGAAGAAGATAAAGAAGAAGAAAAAGATAAAGAAGAAGAAGAAGAAGAAGAAGAAGAAGAAGAAGAAGAAGAAGAAGAAGAAGAAGAAGAAGAAGAAGAAGAAGAAGAAGAAGAAGAAGAAGAAGAAGAAGAAGAAAAAGAAAAAGAAAAAGAAGAAGAAGAAAATGCTAACTGGCACAATGAGGAAGATGTAGAATAAGAGAAGAAAACATTACATGATAACAATCGTAATGTATATTTTACAGGCCGATAATCGAAAATGTCACTTTTAAATGACGACTGCGCCTTGCTACATGAACAAGTATACTAAGACGTATGACCAGTTGGCCACCGTGCATTCTAGACAGAACATCACAGTGCGATGTGTTTTTAACTGCTGTTGTATTTGTTATTTAATTGATTCTTGGTCAATACAAATGTATGTAACTACGGTTTAATTGTAATTGATTTTTTGTTGTTGTTCACTGTTTTCCGTTACTGCTTAGTGTTGTTTGCCTGGCCTTTGAAGCACGATAGCTAGATGCTACTTTCCTTATTATCATTGTCATCATTACTGTCTTTTGGTGCCTTTATATATCACATAGTGGTCGTAGTCTATTACTCCATTCCTTTGATATCGTGGATAGTATTCAGTCCAGGACATTTGGCAGCTTTCATCTACGTTCGTTTTAGGATCTCTTTTGGACGTTTCAATTTCTTAGGAATTGGATTTTATCCCATATCGATGCTGCAAATCGTCTTCCAGTAGGATGCATTTTGTGTTATTTTAAAGCCCTATTTTGGCTTGTGCCGTTGGCTGTAAGTGTAGAAGGCAATAAATATGGCCCAACGGTTAAATGAGGGTTTCCGGGACCTCTCTACAGGTGATCCTTATCCGCGTAGCGGCACTTTGTGTCACCAGGTGTTTATCGCTTGTGTGATGTCCTGGTGGGGTAAAGCTTACCTACCTACCTATCTTATCTTTTTCCGTCCCCCAGTTTGACGCAATTTTTTTTTAAATTTTGAATTCCTATCCTGGCTTTTGCCCGGGGCCCTAAAAATAGTTGGGCCTTAAATATGGCCTAACAGGTGAAGGGGATTCTGGGACCTCTCCACGGGTGGTCCTCACCCGTATCGTGGCACCTTGTGTTACCGGGTGTTTATCGCTTGTGTGATGTCCTGTGGGGTACAACTTACCTAACTATATGAGTCCATGTATTTCTCATTTTAGTGTATGTTTGGGGATTCTGTGCTCGTTTCAATTTAGGATGTAGGCGGTATTATATTTTATTTGATAACTGTTGTCACCAGTGGTTACCCAGATATTTCTTTTATTTTTTTTTTTTTTTTTTTTTTTTTTTTTTTAAAGTCTTTTTGAATTCATTATATTTTAAATTCATTATATTTTATGTTCAACGTTGTCCTAAGTAAAGGTAATTGAAAGATGCACAGAGTACTTACTAGAACTTTACGGTGATAACTGCAGACCAGACATACAGAGTTATATTGAGAAGAACCGCCAATACTGAAAGCAGAAGTAGAAGATGCTATAAACCACATGGAGAAATGTAAATCTTCAGGACCAGATAACATCACGATTGAAGAATTAAAAGCTGCCGGTGAACTGGGTTAGAAGTTTTCACAAGATTGTTCAATGATATTTATAACACGGGACACGTTCCTAATGATCTTTTGAAATCTCTTTTCATACCTCTACCAAAATCACTTTGTGCAGTGGAATGTGATAAACATCGAACAGTTAGTTTAACGAGTCGGAAAACTAAAATAATAATGCGAATTATTATAAGAAAAATAAGGTGCAAAACTAAACCAGAAATTGGAGAAAAGCAGGGTGGTTTTGTTGAAGGTGAAGCACAAACAATGCCATATTTATCTTCAGGACACTTTCAGAAAGAATGATTGACATGAAATGAGATCTGCATTTGTGCTTTATTGATTACACTAAAACGTTAGACAGGGATGTGTACGTGATTTATTTAATTTGTACAGTGAAAAAGTAATTAGATCCATAATGGTATGCCAGGAATATCGGTAGGTGGGTATGCTGTTAACAACCTACGTACGATATGCTGTCAATTTAGTTTTGATCGCTGAAAATGAAACACAACTGCAAGAAATTATGGATATAATGTTAAAGGAAAGTGAACATATGAGTCTTAGTTTGAACATCAGAGAGAAAAAAGAAAGAATGGTAATCACAAACAAAATGACCCTTCAAAATTCAACATCAAAGTAAATGGGATAAACCTCATGCAAGTTTGTATGTTTCTTTTCTTCTGGTAATAATACTGTCTACAGTTTCTTGGTTTGTGACTTAGAGTAGTTTAGTGTTTGAGATTGTATCTGGCCAGAACATTTTGATAATTCTACGTAGACATGTGTGGTGGAAGGTGGACAGCTTGTGTGCATCCTTTTTGGTCATTCCCCAGCATTTCGCTCCATAAAGAAGAAATTGCAAAATAATGCTCTTGTAGAGTCGGAGTTTCGTTCCTCTGCAGTAACTGTTGGATTTCCAGATTTGCCAAAGCCGCTCTAGCTTTGTTCAGACGTGACTGTAAGTCCTCTTCGGTCCCTCCCGGCAGGGACACCACACTGCCAAGATATGTGAAATGTTCTACATTTTCAAGAGTTTGGTTATTTATGGTCACTGGTTGTTGGTTTGGACTGCTTGTCATGATCTTAGTTTTTTTTTTTTTTTTTATTCATTCTCAGTCCCACCATTTCTATCGTGCTGTGTAGACTGTTACTTTTTTCTTGTATATGTTCATGTTTATGTTGTAGAAGTGCTATATCATCTGCAAAATCAAGGTCCTCAAGCATGGTGAATGGAGTCTATCGTATGCCTCTCAATGTCCTGTCTACTGTGTTCTTTAGTATCCAGTCAATCACAAGGTTGAAGAGGAGAGATGGCATAACACATCCCTGTCTCACACCTGTCTTTACTGGGAAAGATGTATTGTAATTTTTTATACTGCAAGAAAAGTCTTTATAGAAGAGGACAATTATATTGACTATTTTTCTTTCTGGAATTCCATGTAGTAAAATTTTCCATAGACCGTCTCTATGGACGATGTCAAAAGCTTTCTCAAAGTCAGTATTATAGACAGTATGATTACCAAGAGAAGATGGAAATGGCTTGGCCACGTTATGAGAATAAATTCTGATATACCTGCCAAAACAGCTCTCACATGGACACCAGAGAGAAAGAGAAAACAGGGGCGCCCAAAAACAACATGGAGACGAACGATGGAAAACTGCACTGAAAATTGCACAGGACAGGAAAGCATGGAAAGTCCTCTTTGAAGCCTCACGTGCCACTAGGCATAACGAGAACTGATGATGAAGTTTGTATGTTTAAGACTTGGATGCCTTAAAAACATCCGACGGAAGATGTATTAAAAAGGTTAAATATAGAATAGCTCAAGCAAAGGCAACATTTTACAAAATAAAGACTATTTTATGCACTTTTATCTTGTCATTTAAGACAAGAAAAAGAATTAAAACCTATATAAATCCTATCTTGAAATGCGAAAGTCTGAGATAGAAAGTAAAAGATCCTTAATGCGTATTTGACAGGCAATCATCTGACTGAGATAGAAAGTAAAGGATCCTTAATGCGTATTCGACAGGCAATCATCTGAGATAGAAAGTAACAGTAAAGTAAAGGGCATTTTTCCTTAGCTTTTAGATGTATTGCCCGTATAGGGCCAGACTTATAGTTTATAGACCAATCGGCAATCGGTGGGTGATTTGGTCAGCATTACACCATCCGCCTTTACCTCCCAGGAATGTATCTGGTACTAGTTTAAGGCTGGGTCGACCTAGGAGCCACTGTATTTTTTTTAAAAGTCCAAATAGTCAGCATGTTTACTGTTAATTAATTAGGTTATCTCCAGCATTAGCCTACCGTAGGTTAGATGAACACAATTATTCCTTGTATGCCAGATAATCCATCAAAATAATCAATACTCATCGCTGTACATGTTAAGTGTTTTCCAAACAATTTCCATGGGTATGTCAATAATGGTTTATTCCATTGCTAGGGCTCACATCTGTAAATCAAACAAAGATCAGAGAAATTCGCTGCTTGAAGAAAACACCTGTGCAACTGCAAATTATAAAATCCTAAGGACATAAGAAATTGAAGTCCATGTGCCAAAAAACAAAATGTGTATTTGTCCGAAAAGGCGTTTTCAGAAAATTTTCTTATGTGTAAGGGCGCGACTTTTGAAACGCACTATAGCTATCGTAAGTGGTGATTCCATTATCACTGCAAACAAGTCGCCCCATAACTGCTGCATTCTGTGCCAGTGAAAATCGCACAGAATGTCCTTCACTGCCTCATTTCAAAACCAATAAAAAACATGTCAGTTCTAGTA